TAAAATATAACAGGAGTATGACTTATATATTCCTTAATTCTATTTACTATTTTTCCCGGCATAACGTTGCTTTCTTTGTCTAACACATATTTTTCAATCTCAGTCAGCCATTTTAAGAGAGAACACAAATTATCATTGGCCTTTTTTAAAAGAGTAGATTCTACTTTCACTTTTTAATGGCCTTGCACTAATTTTATTAAGGTATCCCTTTGATCTTGATTTCCCATCAAAGGAAAATAAATTGTTTCATTCTATCCTGTTAAATCCTTGTAACATCTTGAACATCTCAGAAATACAGAAGGCAAAGAAACCTAATAATCTAATTAATTAAGTTGAATTAATACATACAATATTTTGTTTACAGCTCTAGTGGTACAAATAAAAAGGAATAACATGTAAAATGTTTTTCAGTTTTCAGAGATCAACAGAGAATTTTGAAAAAAGCCATTTGAACCATCCAAATTTCATTTCTGTCATAATCTCAATAATCAACAGCTGTGAATCTATCAGGTACGTTTAATACATTGCCTCATGTAATGCCTGTCACATTGAAAACAGCAGCATTGTCATGCAGTACCAAGTATATTCATTATGTAGATTTACGTGTAAGACAGAAAAGTCTAAGAATTACTGCAAAATACTGATAAATATTTATGTTTGGACAACAGTTAGTGAAAAAAACCATCAGTTCAATTTCTTAAATTGATCTGTAGATCAATAAAATGGATGTGGTCCTACCAGACAATAGGGCTGCTCCCTCATTAGATAGAGAGGTGACTGGTGGTGGTTTAACCTGAGGGTCAGTACACCTCACGTGAGGGGAGAGGTTGAGAAAGAGAGAGTCCTTCATGGTAACCTCAGCCAGTAGCAGGAACTGAACCCGTGCTGATCATTCTGAACCAACTGTCCAACCAACTGAGCTAATGGCCCCTCCATTAAAAAAAAGTAGTAATGTACAAGAACTTCTTTGCAATCATAATACAAGCCAAGCTCAACAGTAATGGTTAACATGATAGATTTAAATCAGACCTTGATGGACTATTATCAGGATGAAGACAGAGACAAAATTCAACTATTTTTCACATGACTATATCTGATGCCCCAAGAAATATGCTCCATGCTAACATGATTTCTTTTAAGAATTAATTTTCCTCACCTGGCTTTAGAGCTGGTTGGAGCTGGCAGCTCACTTGTATGGAACTGCTGAGGATGACTGATAGTCCATGACTGATTCTACTCTCATTCTCATCCCCAGAAAGGTCACACATCAGATATCAGATAATTGTTTTACACTATTAACCCAACAGGTTTATCCTTACAAGTCTGCTGACAATGCACTGTCCGTTTAAACATGTGGGATTTATGCATTTTTCATCTGTTTTTAGAAACCACCTTAATACAAATGAGAAAATCACAAATCTTGAGTTGAAAGAGAACATCCTTTCAGTTCTGAATGAAATGGAGAGGAAGAAAAAAGACATTATTTTAAAGACCTTGTTTTGTGAATTAAAGGTACAATGAGAACAAAGTAAATTAACCCTAAACATGATTTTTCAAGCACTGTTTAAGTAGCTTCTTATAAAATTGAGAAAGATTAAGTAGGAGTCTTCATCTTCTTGAATATATGATGTATAAACTCTTCATTATGCTTTGCTCAATTCCTGTCATTTTCTGCAGCCTTTACTTTTAGCAATGTGCAAATCTGCATTAGGAATGATTCTGTAAAATTTGGAAATAGTTGGTTTTTGTTCACAGTCAGATTTTGAAAGGAAGTTATTTTACGCTTAACTAATTTGACTTAAAATAGATTAAGTATTTTATATTTTCCCTCAGCCTCACTGTAAAAAGCTGGTGTCAGAAAAATGGTTTGAGTGTACAGAACCAATAGATGAAATATCTGTAATAACAGAGAAGCATCTCTCAAAATTAAAGAAATTGAAAGCATCACAGTATCAGGTATGTCACAATGTATTGTTGATATGAGAGAAAACTCATCATGGAAACGAACTTTTCAAAGCACTGTGAAGCTAACAATCATTGGCTGTGTCAACTTTCTACAAAGCTTGTTGAGAATGTTATCATACTGATGAGATGTCAATTTGTAAATATATTTATGATGGAACACTGAGCCATCCAAAGTTTCAGAATCATACTAAACAATCTTAACCAGTCTCAAGCAGAATGACAAATGGGACATTTAGTAGTCTTGGGCTGGGACAAGAACAATAGTGGGACTCACTTCTGTCCAACAGACCCCATGTAAAGGGATCCATGTTGGAATCATGAATGGGTGTGGACAAAATCAAGTGTGATTGAAACAGTTTGCTTTCACTGATAAAGTTCAGGTAGCAATATTGCAACCCTCATGGGAATATAGGGGAAATTTCTCCAGAGGCATTGAGGCACTTTTGGAGATTGGGTGGTAGGGGTGGTGTTGACAAATTTATGGCAGAGGACGTCACGCTGGATTGCTGACAGACTGGCGTCTCCTTGTGGATTTACTGGAGGCATCAGGGCAGCAGAAGGTAAAGTAGTTGATGCAAGATTGATTAGCAGGGCACTTTTGCATGTGAGAGATACACCTTGTCTGCAAGTCATCTATTGACAGGAGGCGAGGGCAAAATGTGGGCTTCGAAGAACACAGTATGCTTATGCAGTGTTCAGTTTGAAGCCAGGATCGAATTAGCAAACATTGGTCATCCACCTGCAAAGACTTGATATTATGTGCATGTTCTCCTGCAGACAGATCCACTTGATAATGCTGGGAATGAGGGATTGGCTGCTGGGCTCATCAGAAATATGGCACCTCTATCTGGTGCTACCCTGACCTTACCCAGTCAGCTCAGGAACATTTACCAACCAGCTGCTCTGATTGATAGTCATTCCAAATATTAAGCGGTTGGACTTGCTTCATTGTGAGCCCAGGACCCAAACGTAGGCCTCCTGATTATTTTCTTTCTTGGAAAAATGTAACCTTCAGAGCAATTGTAGTCTGTGGAATGTTCTAAATCTGAAAAGCAACCTGTAAAAGAGAAATAACAGCGGGAAACTAGAGGGGTAAGTATCAACTTTAAAGAAAAGCTCTTCCATAAACATTTTACTTGGATCCAAAACATCTTTTCATAAGAAATTTTAATGCCTGAATATAATGTTAACTTTCAAATGGGAATAGAATGTTCAATATATACACCCTACTATAATTTCCTTTGTTTGTTTAAACAGGATCTATTGATGGAAATCCATAAGCAGCTTATTACAGAATATATCCTTCGAATTATGAAGAAAAAGTTGAGCTGTAAAACAGAAAACCAAGAGAAACGAGTGGCAGACCAGATACAGATAGAAACTCAACAGTTACAGAAATTATTCAACTTCTATGTAAGTAAACAAAATGAGTTATGAAAATGATGAGGACCAGAATGTGACAGTAGTAAAGAGAAACAAGCTGCAAAGGATTGGGAGAAACAAATAGCACAAATGTAAAACATTGTGAGGCATTAATCCAAACTAAGTTTATAGTGCAACACACAAAGCTATAGGTTGGTAGGCTATAGACTGAGACAATCACTTTGAGTGTAACGATTATACAGACTGGCTCAAAAAAAGGGAGAACTGAACACATAAGGTCACTAAAGGATGTATTGAACCAGATGGGTTTTTTTACAACAATCAGTGATGGTTTCGTTGTTACCTTTGCTGAGACTAGATTTATATTCAATATTTCTGAATTGAATTTAAACTCCATCAGCTATAACATAGGGCTTTAAAGCCTGTCCCCTGGGAATTAGCCAGGATCTACTTTGTTTTGAACTAGAGAAAAAAAAGACCAAAGAACTGCAGGTGCTGGACATCAGAAACTAAAACAGAAACTGTTGGAAAAATTCCATGTTCAGAAAAACTGAAGTATTCCGAAGAGGGGTCACTGGACCTGAGACATTAACTCTACTTTCTGTCCGTGGACGCTCCCGGACCTGCTGAGTTTTTACAGCAGTTTCAGTTTTTGTTTCCCTTTGTTGTGGATTGTGGTAATACCGTTACATCACTCTCTTCCCCTAAACTCCCTCCACATACTGATGGACCTCTGTTTGTGGCTAGCACATTTAGTGAGCTGGTCACACCACAAGTAAGGGCTACACAGACAGAAAAGCATCGGGTGACCACCAGGAATATGAGTAAGTATGGGCAGGCAGTGCAGGAGTCTCCTGTGGCCATTCCCCTCTCAAACAGCTAACTCGTGTTAGGTACTGTTGGAGGAGAATGGCTCTCAGGGGAAAGCAGCAGCAGGCAAAGTTTGTGGCACCACAGTTAGCTCTGAGGCACCAGCAGGGGAGGAAAAAGACTGGAAAGAGCTTTAGTGATAGGGGACTGGATGGTAAGGGGAACCAACAGGCAGTTCTGTGGCAGCAAACAAGACTCTCGCATGGTGTGTTGC